CGCGCGGAGGTGACGAGCCGCCCCGCTGCTGTGAAGCCAGGCGGAAAACTGACCTTTCTGGCACGCGCTGCCTCGGCCCTTTGGCACCGCGCGCTGAACCGGGCCCTCCACCGTCTCCTCCATCCATCTGCAGCTCAGCCTAATCTGCAGCGGGAGGTCGGACTCCTGCTCCTCCCTCTGGAGTCGGGGGTCCGCGCGCTAAAGCGGAACAATTACAATAAGCGGGATCATGATTTAACATAAGACGCTCACGCGGGTTACATCCGCAAGCAAACGAGGTCACCATCCTGATAATGTATGCTTCAAGTATCTGTAAAGGCGCCTCTCTTTTTATGTGAACTCTCGCCAGCGGTTAGCAGAGGAAGAAAATCCTACGGCTGTACTCATGAATCATTCACTTTCACCTCAATCCAAAGTGTCTGCTTTATTTTCACCTCACAGTCGTCACCTCCTGCCCTCATACCTCTGCACTCGCGTGACCTGGGAAAGGGGCACGTAAGTAGCCATTTGCTGCCCCCTACTGGTGAGTTGCGTTGACACAAATGTATACGGGTCTGTGCTCAGCATCCAGACATTAATGCGGATTACATACTGCTGGCCTGTTTCTTTGAAACTGTATCTTTTATTTATGCTCGTTTCCTCTGAGGTGGGGGTTGCTTGGTAGCTGTTCACGTCTTGTGTTAATAATAGCAGTAATAACGGTAATTATTTTTCATATCTCTTAAATGTGTTTTATAGAATCAGAATATTATAGAAAGTACAAATTATGTACTTTGTAACATTTGATTTATCACCTAAGCCAGAAAAGGGGGAGGAAACGGATACTAATACTTCTACTGTTGATTATTTAATTTGTTTTAAAAAATACATGCATAATCTTAAACATAAGGTTCCTTATTCTTTAAGAGAGCACATAAATAATATCCTGATTGATAAACTGGTTGGTGTGTTTTTTTTAGCACTCAGGACTGTGTTCCTGCTCCCACAACATCAAGCAGGAAAGACCTCAGCGATGATGAAGCCGTCGTCGTTGCTGCCCGTCATTTAAGCATAAAGACATCTTCAGACTTTTTACAGTGTATCATGCTATGCTAAAAATGATCACACTGCAAAAAATACCCCTCTCAAAACAAGTTAAGAGTAGAAAATAAAAATCTGCCAATTGAACTGGTACTTTTTATCCATATTCAAGTGTTATTGACTTAATACAAGCTCCTGTATCTTGCTGTAAAGTTACTTTGGTGTTATTTCAAGTTTCCTGGGAAATTTGCACTATAAACTAGACATTTTGTGTTTTTGCAGTACAACAGAGCTGACAGTTTTTCTAAGTGTGGCCACGTTCATCCTGAACGTAGAAACATAAATCTCAGATGTTGGTTCACTTTTGTATGAGAAGACTGACTAAATAAAAAAAAAAACTAAACATTTTAGACGGTTAAGTTAGCGAGCCTTTTCTCCCTAATGAGATGTACTTTGGAAGAACATCTGTTAGACGGATGAGACGCATTTGGCAAAATAAAAAAAACGAATAGCTTGTGATCACGTTTTATAATTGAGAGCGCTGGTGGGGAATGGTTATTCTCTGGACTGCTTTAAAAGCACATGTAACTGGGAAGCCTTCAGTCAACCAGTTGACCACAAAGTCCTCTTCATGCTGAGATTTTCTTGGGTTAAATGTGAGGCCACCTGTCTGCCAGCTGAACATTGGTGTAAATCTCGTCAGTGTGCCAACTACAGAAAAAAAAAGTCTACAACAGAATCTGGGTTTTTGTCTTAGTACAAAGTTCACAGTTTAAGGCTTTGCTAGAAACTTTAAAACTATATGGATGGTAAATTTAAAACTTTGAGAAAACTGCAATAGAACAGTAAAGTCATCCAGCTAGGAAGAATAAATATATTGTCATTTTTATAAATTGCTCTTTTCAGTCGTCTACTCTGCAAAAACACAAAATCTTACCAAGTGTTTGGTCTAGTTTCAAGTGCAAATATCTTATTAAACTTGAAATAGGACAAAGTAACACCAAAAGCAACTTTTCAGCAAGAAATAGGAGCTTGTTTACTTAAAAAATTCCTTAATAATATGAAAAAAAAATTACTAGTTTCAGTGGCAGATTATTTCACTTGTAACAAGATACTTTCCCCACTAAAACAAGCTCCTGTTTCTTGTGATTTCTAGAAATTAGACCACAGATACTTGGTAATATTTTGTTTTTTTGCAATGCTGGCTTGTTGCTATGATTCACATTCACTTTTGTGTCTTAAGTTAGGAAAAAGTGTGAAAAAGACCATTTCAATCAGCTGTGGTTGTGGCCAAATGTTGCTGAAGCGTCTTAATGTTACATTTGAAACTCTAAATTTGGACATTAATGCATGACACAAAGGTGACTCAATAAGAAGCCATTCTTATAATCTCTGGCTTCCGTTTGAGTTCATAACATGAAGATGTACATGGTGATTTGTCCAGTGAGGAGGAGGAAGTCAGTAGAAATGTCTGAGAGACCTAGCAGACCGGCAAACCACGCAGGTTTAAAATTGCATTGCGAGTCCAGTCTATCTGTAATTCACCACTTCAAACCTGCAGATACATTTTCTTTTAGCGGCTATGTCACCAAACCACTGTAAATGGCTGCTGTTACATTGTATAAAATGTAACAGCAGTGAATGCAAGTAGCCAAAAGTCTTACTTTGCAACAATTTAAATGCACCACAGTATTGTAGCTGCCAACGCATCATTTTGATGTCACAGTCTGTCATTCCACTCAAACTCTAAGTCCATCTACTGTTTTCTTACAATAATATGTCATTTAACCCTAAAAATAAAATTAAATCTAACGGTAAGCATGTTATGGATAACAAAATATGGTCGTCATTGGGAATAATGTTTGGAGAAAGTGGTTTTGATTGTGTTTTTGCATCAATGCGATTCACAGTCTGCGTCAGAGCACATGAAAAGGAAGAACCATTGTTGGCTAACTTTATGCTCACAAACACCAGCCATGTTTGCCTCCATAGTCTGCCTTTTCTTGCCGTCTCCGTTTCATGAAGTGGACCGTTTCCTTGTTCCTTGTTCCTGGGATCTTTCTAACATTGAAGCAAAGTACAGCATTTTTTTATAAACTGGGGGGAAAAAATGTAAAGAATCTTGTTGGTTGGATTCATCCGTATTTGGTAGTGCCATCGGTTTTAGCGAGGCTCAGATCCAAAGACTCACTCTGTATCCAAAATTGTTCTGAAATGACTTGCCTCCTCAGAGAGACTCTGGGAAAGCTGACTGTGACTTAGTTTTGACTCAGTTTGATGATTTATAGGTTTTATCTCGTTCATTTTGAATCGCTGCTCTGTAATTTTACCTTTTTTTTTTAAGAGTATTACTTTTGTCTATATTAGTACGTCAAGCACCAGAAATCAAAACCTACCTTTTGACACATAATTCACCTCATCATCGTGTGCCGAGTCGTACGTTGGGGCAAACAGAGCAGCACTTCCATGCACTCTGAGGTGGTAGTTTATTTGAAGAGCAGATCCATGAGTCAGCCAGTTCCCCCTGTGGGTCGCAGCTGGAGCGAGTCGACGGCTCCACCCAGCTGCAACCAACGTCATATGTGGTTGCAAATTCCCCAGCCTCCCCGCAGCCAGACTGTCTAATTTATGCGCATCGGTCTCCCCTCTCCACCCTCCTCTCGCTGCAGGATGTATTGTCCTCCGCTCTCTAAACTGAGTTAAGTTTCTGAGCCGAGCGTTTCACTTAACAGAGCTGTGGGAGGACTAAACGCTGCTGCTGCTGCTGGATAGCTGTTGTTGGCAGCCAGATGCCTGTTTGTGGTGAGTGTTTTTTTGTTTTTTTTTTATGTTTTGTGCTGGAATGTGATCCTGTGAATGTGGTTTTTCCTCTGGAGATTCATTGAAGAAATCAGTTTTCTTGCTACAGAGCGAGATGTGCGTGCTTTTTGACCGCTTGACGTGGGGATTTGATTCTGTTTTAGGTCATTATTTCACTTTGACGACTCGGAGAACCTTTAACACACACACACACAAAACTGTAACTTTGTAACTTTCAAACATCCTCGACGCAAAATCCATAAAGCCGGTCCTGCATCTATCCAGATGTGGCATTCCTTACATTTCTTTCTCAGACAGATCTCTAGTTTTAGTCCACCTTGTCATTCATGCTCAGTTATCCGTTCGTGTTGAGTCAATCATTTATCGTGAAAAGTTCTTTTGAAAGCAAACCCAGGGACAAAGTCTCCTAACATCCTGAAGTACATGATTTGCTGGTACTTTGGCCTGGTTTCCTGAAGACAAGTCAGATGAGCTGTACAAACACTCACACCCTGGACCCCCAGGGCATTGCAGAGCTTTTGTTTCGCTGTGTGATGCTGAGAAACGTGACACCGCACTCTTCTTTTTAAAACCTCTGTGGCTGAAGTGTCAGGCTGCAGCTTCGGCCTGAACACCGACTATTTGCAGACGGCTGAGAAAACACTGCAAAAAAAATAAATAAATTCGTACTAGAGTAGCTTTTAAGCACGATATAAGAGCTGATTTTATATAAATAAGTCGTTAATATGGATAAGGAAAAGTATTATGCTTCTAGCATGAGGTTTTTCCCACATTATAAGTGAAGCTAAACTTTTTCAATCAATATCAAGGATTGATACAAGCTCCTATAACTTGCTTGAAAGTTACTTTTAAGTTGGCTTCATCTCAATGAACGTGTGCCAAGATATTTGCACTAGAAACCAGAGCAGAATGAAAAAAGATTTTGTTTTTGGGGTGAATATTTTCACGGAAACGGCCGAAGCTTGAGTTCAGGCCTCTTAACTTGTTTGTTCAGTTTTGTTTTCTCTATATGCACATCCATCCGTGATGGAGGACAGTGGGGATTCATACACGCTCTCCAAACCATGTCGAATAAGCGCCCAGGCTGCTGCGATATCATGTGGCTGCGGGTACAAAGGGCTGCTTATGTGAAGCGGTGGCTGTTGGGGGCAGAAGAGTGGCTGCTGCCAGGCGCAGCGCGCAGCTCCTCAGGCCGACCCGCTCTTGCTCTTATTTATTGAGCGAACGAACAGCAGGCAGGATTTCTCAGGCCGCTTGGAACCGGGTTCGCCATGAATGGGCCTCTCTTTTTCTGGACAGTCGGACCAGTCACGGACTGTCTGGACACGAGGCGACGGAGTCCAGAGTATCGCTTTCCACTGCAGTGGGAGCGTTTGCAAAGCGTCAGGGTGAGGCGTAATGATGATGATGATGATCTGTGCGGCGGTTTATGAGCGGAGTACCTGCTCATTACAGACGCAGCGTGTGTTTGTGTGTGCGGTCCGAAAGGGCCTCCCAGGTTTTTGGAGCTTATAGTCTGCCGTTTGGTTTGGTTTTCCTGGAGATTTTTTATTTTTATGTTTTGGTTTCCAAGGATGGATAAGAGGTCAGAAGACCTCTTATCAAGAAAGTCAGATTTTTATCCTGTTCATTAAATGCATCAGAGGAGCTGCTTTTTTTTCCAGACTATAAACTCATGGACTACATCCATGCACTTTGATGCAGCTTGTTTGAATTTCATTTAAAAATGAAAAGTGTGGATTGATTTAAACATTTTCCAGCTCTGAATGATCATGCAAAACATTTTACTTGACCCTAGAAGTTTCCTTCTTCCACCCTTTATTCTTGATGTTTATTTTTTTATCCAAATATCCTTTCTTTCTTCCTTCTCTTTTCTTTGTTCTTCCTTTCCTTGCATCCTTCCAGTCTTCCTATTTATGCCCTTCCTTCATCCTTCACTTTGTCCCTTCTTTTCTTCTGTCTCCTGTCTGCTTCACTTCCTTGTCCCCATTTATCTTCCTCCTCCCTCCGTCCATTAAACCTTTTCTTTCTTCCTTGTCTCCTTGTCTTATGACCCGTCCTCATTCCAATCTTCCTCCTTTCTATCTTTTTGCTTCCTCAATTGTTTCCTTCTTGTTTCTGCCGTCTCTCCATCAGTTTTTTCTTTTTTCCTTGTCTCCTTCATTCCTTCCTTTCTTCCTCATGCCTCTTTAATCATTTCCTTCCATATGTCAATCTGTCATTTGTTGGTTTTCCTTCTTAACTTTCTTCTTTTTCTCCTTCCTTCTTTTATTCCTTGTGTTGGTTTTTTTCTCTTCCTCCTTCACTTTTTCTTTTTTCCTGTCCTTCTTTCCTTATTTTGTTGTCTTGAAAGTTTTGATATTTATATCTGGCTCTTGTCACAATATTTGCTGTATCATTTATGAACTTACTAAAGATATTTGAGAACTCTGCAAATTTGCTTCACATTAAAAAATGTATAGAAACCCTCGGATTAATAATCAGTACCTCTATCAATAATCTACGGTGCATTTCTTCTCTTTATGTCAAAGTCCTTAGGAAAATGTTGAGGTTTGCAGCTCAGACCTGAAGAAAAACCAGAAATCTACTAGTTTTCCGTAAATCATCGATGACGGCACATCGACTAAAGTGTCAGGAGTTGATTTTAATACTGATCATTTAACATTTCTTTAACTGGGATCAATTAGGTGTGAGCCATTATTGTTGTTTATTGTGAAAATTTCAATTTCCTTTGAAGATGTTAAACGACCCAAAAGCAAAGTGACATTATTAGAAATGTTATGTTCATCATTTTGTCCAGTTTGTTCCACAAGAACATAAATGTCAATAACATTTGTAAACATGACTGAAGTTGGGAAGAGCAGCGTTTGTTTTCACAGCCACAGTTACCCTAAAGAAGACAGTAAGTAGTTTTTTAATCACCATTTTTATCATTATCACAATAGTACCACAAAATAACATGATAAAATCATGATAAAGTTTGACGGAACCCAATGATATAGGAAGAACACCTGAATAGTGAAAAAAAAAAAAAAAAAACTGATCAAATGTCAGAGAAAACTGGGAATCGGTATCAACCAGTGAGACTTTTAATTTTTTTAAAACTGATTTTTATTATTTTTACACATTAACCGGAAAGAGCGTGTTCTGAAAAATGAATCCATCGCACAGTAAAAGAAACCCTCCAAAACCTCTGAGTTGCACAGTTGAAGGAACGTGAAGCGGAGTTATGTGACCGACTCCTTGTGGTTCACGGCAGGCTGATCCGCGGCCTCTTAGGTCGAGTCTCGATGGCTTCGAGGACGGTGAGTGTCGGAGTTGCGTCAGTCGGGGCCTCTCCTTCCCCCGCAGGGGTCATATCTGAGCAGGAACATGATGGCTCTGGTGAAGATACAGGCTTTATCACAGCTTTTGCCCTCCTGGTGCTTAATCTCTCCCGCTTCCTGCTTATCTGTTTTACCACCGACAGCGGCAAAAGTTTCAAACAATGGCTTATCACGGTTTTGTGACACCTGTGTGTGTGTGTGTGTGTGTGTGTGTGTGTGTGTGGCAGGATGGCTCTGTGGGGAACCTTGATGACCTGGCCCAGGAGTACTCGCAGTACTACGGCACCTCCCTCAGCGACGTGTGCGAACGGATGGAGGAGCTACGGAAACGCAAACTAGTGCAAGAGATGGAGATGGTGAGGAATCTTTAACCCTTTTTTTTTTTTTCCTTTTTGTTGTTTTTTGTTTTTGTTTCTTTTAGAGTTTGACGTCACTGGAAAAATCTGCATTGTTCAGGTAGCAGAGAAGATTAAATGTCTTCCTCGGGATAAATACACGGCCTGCAGCAGCAGAAGCCTCAATAACATGTTTTATCTTTGCAGGGTGCTATTTTCTCCTATAAACTACAAAAGAGGGGTATTTATTTTCCTCTGTGGAGCGCTTTCCACAGAGGCTCTGGAAAGCGTTCACACTCCTGTCAGCTTCTGTGTTTTTAGGTCAGATTAAATCGTAATAAAACAGTTTACATCTATTTCCTATCCTTAGTGACATTTAATTTGCACATTTTAAACAATCTTTCAGAGACGCGTATAAAAATTTTTTTTTTAATATTTTGATCAGATGTGTGATCTTAAACTGTTAGCTTAATTAACTAATACTCTTAACTTATATGTGGCACCTTCTCCAGCTTTAAAAACTCTTTGAAACATTGTTGGAAAACTACTGATTGGCTTATTTTATACGGCATCTTGTATTTGAAATTAAATGAATTTAGCTGTTGTGCTAACTCCAACATTGCACTGATGCTAACTGCTGACGTTTTGATTAATATGCACTGTCCTAATTTAAGTAAATGAACAAAATAATACTTTTTTTTGAAGCCCCTTTTAATTATTTCAGTCTGCATCAGTAGGAATGATTCATAATGCCACAGCTTTGTATATCTGCCAAATCTATTAGATTAAAATGATATTTCTATCTCTCCATGTAACCGCATAGATTTTCTTTAGGATTTAGTTCAGAACTTTGACTAGGCCATTCCAGAATAATAGTTTTCATCCCATTAAGCAGTTTGCTTGTTGATTAGGATATAAGATTTGAATAATTTTGATTCTGTAGCCCCACAGCATGATGCTGCCCCCACCATGTTTCACTATCTAATTAACTGCATGTGTTAATTAGATTCACTGGAACCATTGATGCTGTTGAAAGGACTGAATGCAATATTTGATTGTGCAGATTTATGCAAGCAGGTTATTGCAGAGGTTTTTTTTTTCTTTTTCTACATTTTCCCTTTTAAAAGATTTAAATGTATTGGTTTACTTTTTGGTTTGAATCGGTGATGTTGCCCTTAATGTACAATATTTGTATCCTTTATTCTGTTTGTGTATATATTTTATATTTTCTTTTTGAGTGATTCTGTATGCGGATTTAGGCCTGTCACAATAACAAAGTTTGCTGGATGATAAATTGTCCCAGATGTTATTGTGATAAATGATAATATTGTTATTTTGAGACCATTTTTTAGTGATGGCAAAACAATGCAAGAACACATCCTGAAACATCAATAAACTTTAAATTGTAATGAACGTTTAACACAGGAAATGGAAACAACAGAAACGACAAATAAAATGGATACTTTAGTCTCTGTAAACAAAACGGTCCTTCAAAATAAGAGACTAAATAAGAGCTATTTGAGACCAAAGTACCAGACTGAAGATTTAGTCATCCAGTTTTTGGCAGAAAGAGATAAAAGAGAAACATTTTAAATGTTTTAAATTTTATTGCGGTAAATTGATTTATTGCTTATTGTGACAGGCCTTATTGTTATTGCTTGTGTCACTAAAGGTGGAAAAAGGACAAAAATCTGACATTTTATCAGAAACGTACTATTTTCACATCCCCTGTAACTAAGGCGCTGAGAGAAAAAACAAACGAACCGCCTGTAGGTGTTGATGTCCTGCCCCGTTTGGGCTCAGACGCAATTAAACAGCCCTTAAAGTAACACTTTGAAAATGTTTACTGACCATATAAACCAGACGAACCTCAAGCCAAGTGTTTCATTACGATGACACTGTGATTTACTCCTCTGCTCCCACTGCGTTTCAGGGAAAGGTTGACTCAGCGGCCGCGTCGCCACACCTCCGCTCTCAGCTCCAGGTGAGTGTCAGACCCCAGGAGAACACTGCCGCTTCCTGTTCTGTGCGTCAGCAGGACAAAACCGCTCGATAGGCGGCCGGGAGGGGTCGCCAGGTCACGATGATCGCCGGGTAAAGCAACGTGAGAAGCCCAAAAAGTAACATCTGACTGGCTGGGGATGCGGAAGAGCTGTCCTTGAAACTGCGGCCTACAGATGTAAACACGAGGCGGAACATGAGACGTTTATTTGCTGCTGGTTCACATCAGAACACAATGTGAAGCAATAGTTTTGTGATCTTCAGGAATTCAGATTTGAAACTCTTAAACGTCTCATCGATTGATTCTCATCTTTTCAGGAATCTCTTGGACTCAGCAGCGGCACATCGACTCCGGAGACTGAGAGGAGGTACAAACAAAACCGTTAACGACCGGTTCTCTCAGTAAAGGGAGGGTCAGATCTAGGATCTGCAGTCTGGATCTACGTCTGCGGGCTGCGGCCTGATTAGGCTTCCTCCATTATCTCCGTCAGGCCTGAGGCCACGTGCGTTTCCTCCCCTTCCTGCTGACCCCGCTGTCACACTTATGAAGCGTTTCTGCGTAACCTTCGCACTTCCTTCCTTCCCTTCATTGTCTCTTCCGAAGGTTTATAAGGATTACTCACATTTTTTTTTTCCTTAGAAAGCTGAATCAGATTTAGAAAAACGGACATAGGTGATGACTAATGCCAAAGAGTCGTGATTAATCGATCAGGATTGTTTGAGAGAGGAAGAGAGACTGAAAGTTCAGACATTTCATTCTAACTACCAGTCTTATCATAAATCTGGATGCAGTTGTAGGAAACAAAAGAATTTACTCAACTTTCACATCCACTCAGAAGATGTGCATACTGCCCCCTAGTGGGCTGAAAGCATATTGTTGCAAATAACCTCACAAGCCTGAAAAAATAATCAAATCAAAGACATTTTTATTTCTCACATTTTATTCTTAAAATCCCAACGTTGCAGTTAAAAATCTAATTTTATTCCTAAATTTCTTGGTGGGATTTACCTCAGGAAGCTGACAATTAGCTGCCAAACAAGAAGGGAGCATAATTAGATCTGTTGTTGTCCTTGTCTAGGCTGTGCAAATCTCCACTTTCTGCTGAATTTATTTGAGGCTAAATTAATAATGAATCCATTTTTTTATGTAATCATGCACAGCAGAACATAAAACTAGCTTCTTTTTTTAGGAGTAGTGATGAGGAAATGCTGTAGTATAGCTAGAATATAATCTAAATGCAGCAGCCTTTTTTAAAGAAAATATTTTAGCTCACACTGCAGGACACGGGTTATAAAAACAAAAACCTAGATAAAATAAAATGACGTTAAAAATCTCAAATGCAAAACCACCTTGACTATGATGGATTAGAAATTTGTCCAATACTCACCGGTATCTGACCTGTCAAAAACTCAGAAATCCAATCCAGTTTTGATCAGTAAACGCAGCACAGCTAAGCATTAATGCACTGTTATCAATCCTCTTTAATGTGGAAGCTGTTGCTAATATTTTAGTAATGTTGTTTCAGAGCCGCCCAGCTCATTACCTGCATGTGGAGTTAAAGATTAGGGTGATGGTCAGCAGGCCCCTCAACTGCAACATGCAGCCAGCTGCTATAAAAAGGGCTTAATTTGCATTTGGCTTCTATAAAATAGTAATAAAATAAGACAATTATTTATTTCTGTAGCTTGTAGTTGCTCTCTGTATTCTGTGAAGAGAATGGTTGACCTGAATGCCTGATTTACCACAAAGCAGGTCTGATCTGTTTGAAGGCAAATGCACAGAAACAACAACAGGAGTCAGCTGAGGGAGGGACTGACAGTCATGCATAACAAAGAGCCCAGAGACAGACAGAGAGACAGAGACTGAGTGTGAAAGTGTGTGGGGAATTCAGACGCCACGCTGCTGCTGCTGCTGCTGCTGCTGCTGCTGCCACAAAACCCCAACCAGAAGAGAAAAAGCCTCCATTGTTCCAGGGATGGCCACAGAGCGCTGACCTCTGTTCATCAACGCGGAGCAGCACAGACTCTGCTTCGTCCGCTTCCACCGCTTTAATTTGCCCTGCTGTTGTCATGAGGCACAGTGCGCCTTTGTGATTCCTTTTGGGTTTTCACGAGCTTGTTCTCTGTGAATCTGACGTAAGTGGAGAAGACAGACAAGACTTCTTGATAAGGGGGTGGAAAATGGTGAAAAGGGATTGAGGATGAAGAGAATAATTTTGGATCGAAGGTACTGGCTCTGGTCGGGGGTTTGACTTTACATCTAAACAATTCAAAAGTTAAATGTGGATTTAATGTCTTCAGGTTTCCTGTCCACAAATCCAGCTCGGACGACGGATCAGGAGGTAAGAAGAACTTTTTACTGGAGTCCACAGATTTCCACGACTCTTCCTGTAAATATCGTAATCATGTTTTCATTTTTAATGCCAAATTAAAAAGGCGTGCTCCTTGCGTGTTTCTCTTCAGGAAAATGGGATGCGAGGAAAAAGAGCAAGTCTTTATGGCAGAGTTTCCGCAAGTCACAGAAGGGAGTGATGCGCCAGACTTCAAAAGGTAAAACAAAACCCAGGAAAATAATGTGATTAATACAAGTTATTGAACAATATAGCTCAGTGTTTTATTATTTGTCCTGCTGATTTAAACACTGCGCTTGTTTGTTTCAGGTGACGATGTTGGCTTCGTTGCCAGCGAGATCACGATGAGCGATGAAGAGCGTATTCAGCTGATGATGATGGTGAAGGAGAATATGATCTCGATAGAGGAAGCGCTCGCACGGGTATGGAGTCATAAATATTGTATTCGCAAAATAGAAAAGTTACAGTGAATTGAGACAATATAATCAACAAAGACCTGTTAGAAAAAAAAGTTTCTTTTAAAAAAAAAAGTTAAAATGAGCAAACAGGTGGAGATAAATACATGACATCATCAAGGATGATCAGAACTGAAACTCATTATGTAGATTCAGTAAAGACAGGGTGGTTTATTTCATGTCTTTATGTAAATGTTGATGAATGCAGCTGAGCAAAACTCCAAATTCTGTTTCTGAAATAAGTTTAATATTCCATAACATCAATAAAAAGCAATGTTTTTACTCCATATCTGGGTTGTTTTTGCATAAATTGCTGCATCCTTGCAGCAACACCTTGCTGAGGTGTTGTGGAAGCTCATGCTAGTTTAACAGCGCACATTTCCTGGGTACTTTTGTTACAGAGTCATTTGTAAACATATGGTTCCACATTTTTTCCTTCCACACAACTTTCCTGTAAAAAAATGTTGATCCAGTATTCTGTAAACAACCAGCTTTTCCAGCACTGACCCATTTTGGCTCAAATCTTTTGCTGAAGGACTGACGACCATTAGCTCAGTAGTGTTAGCGTAGCCATAACTTTGCATGTCTGGACTTTAAAAAATCCTGTCTAAGCTCATTTATATTCACACTTTATGATGTTATAATAATCATCAAAACTAAGATTAAAAATAAATGTTTTAGATACGTCAATGTGTGAAAAATGTTTCACATGTTGAATTTACTGAAGATCTCATTTATTGAGATGCATCTGTATGTTTTATTTAACCTAAAAACATAAATGAAATGTGTCCCATCCTCTTCTCCGCTGTTGAACTGTAAACCATATTTACCTGTATGACTCCGAGTGATAAAATGCTCTAGAATTTATTGCGATAAACGATAATATTCTTGTTTTCTGAACATGTTGAAGTAAACATAATGGTAACAGCATAATAATAATAAACTTTCAATTCCAATTAACTTTTAAAACTGGAGCTGGAAGACATTTTAAATATCCAAAACAAATAAAACAATAGAAATGACAAATAAAAGGATTTATGAGGTTTCTGTAAACAAAATTCTCCTTCAGGACTTTTATAATTTAATCATGAGCTTAATTAATTAACTGCTTGTTACGACAAACTTCCCTTGTCTCACTGAACCAACCGAAATGCTTCTGTCTCTCTTTGCAGCTGAAGGAGTTCGAGACCCAGAGCAGACAGACGAGCCGATGCGACACCCCCGAGTCCCTGGACCCCTCGGGGCCCGGTCCAAACGACTCGTTCAGCTGCACCGTGAGTCTCTCCGCTCTCCAGGGCCCTCGCTCGTTGTTTACCTCTGAATCGCTAACTCACGCAGCGGCGGCGCCTCTGGTTTGCTGTTGCCAAGGCTGCTGAGCTGTTGACAGCACTTCCCCTCTTTGGCTCTGCCCGTGTCCCGGTGGTGAACCGAGGCCCCTCTAAAGCTCTGCAGCTCGGGGCCCTTTCCCAACCGCAGGGCTCCGGCTGGACTCCTATTCATTGCTGTCAAAGCGCTAACCCCCCATTGTGCTGCAGCGGGCGGCCGGATTCAGCACAGGGCCACTGTTATGCATGCCACAGCTCTTTTATGCACCAGTGGGGCAATTAGGGCACATTTTTCAGATTCATCTGAACGTCCTTTCTGCTTCTGATGAACTTCATTTGGTGTTTTCTCTCTAATTTCCCCTCATATTGAAGTTTCTGTTTATAACCGGCTGTCGTTTTGTCTCCAAATGAGTATTCTGGGTCACACTCGCTGCCTTCGTTCTGGTCAGACCTTAGACACGCCGCTGGCTTTCCAGTTCAGACGGTGGTTGGCGTTATTTCCGAGCACACACCCGTGCCTTTTCACACACCTGATTTTAGCCTTGCTTTCACACGTAGCTTAATGGTTTGCCATCTGCTTGATGCGCAGTAATACTTCTGTGGTTTCCTGCAGTGTATTTATACGCAACCATGTTCTGTAACAAGAAGTAGAGGCAGGCTGTGTTACTGTTTGTAAACTTTAGAAAATGTTCAATTAAATTAAGATGGGAATATCAACAATAATTTATTTTTTATTTTTTTGTAGCCTGTTGAGCAGTCTGACCATGAGGAGGAATCTCCGACATTCAAAAGGCTCCACAAACTGGTCAACTCCACTCGGAAAGTGAAGAAGAAGCTGATCAGAATAGATGAGTCCAAAAGGCTCGCAGCGGACGGTACTGAAGCCTCTCTCTCTTTACATACACATAAAAGTATTACTAACCCTTGAACCTTTTTGTTTCACAAGTGAAAATGTGATGTGAAAGTGTTCACCTAACCCTCGCTCTCCGTCCTCGGTGTGAAACCACACGTACAGCTGCAGGTCTGCTGGGTTTGCCTCAGCTTCAGTCTGAATTTTGTTGTTGATCCTTCAGTGCAAAGTTTCCCAAAAATGTCTGTCGATAACTTTCAACTCTTATTAGCGATTCTGAATTGGATTTAGGTTTGAAATCTGAGTAGGGGATTCTTCTAGATAAATAAATATGGTTTGCTCTAAGCCAGGTCTGTGTAGCTCCTGTTGTTTTCAGGGTGATTGGAAGTTGAACCTCTTCATCAATCTCTGGTTCTGGTTCCGGTTCTGTTTTGTCTCCCGCGTTTCTTTATATTTAACATCATCCATGTTTGCATCACTTTTGGACCAGCTTCCATCTGAGTGAAGTTTGTCTTCCTTACTCCCCTTCTTCAAATCAAATGAAACTGGTGTCAAACATTTGTGCAGCAAATAGTTTGTTTAAAGATATTAGGACATGTTTCCAGAGGTCATCAAAGTTCAACCAGCTCCCTGCCACATTTATAAAATCAAAACAATTTTATGTCAATAAATGGTGATTTATAAAAATGTATGTATTTTCCCAATGATGAAATGCATCCCTAAAGCAGGATGCTGCTCTCATGACTTCTCCTTGCTTTCTTTCAACAATGGCTTTCATCTCACCAAGCTTGTGGACAAAAAAAAATCCAGATTTGTGGTGTGAAAGCTAAGAGCATCCCCCACCTGAGCTGAGAATCTCTGCAGCTCCTCCTGAGTTACCACTGGACCTCTTGGTTGTTTCTCTGGTTAAACCTCTGGTCAGATTAGATGAGCATCGTTTCTTAGCATTTGTGTAGTTGAGTGAACAGACTGTAGTCGTTTATAATTGTGCAAACTCTACATAAATCCCTGTCCTACTAAGAACTCAGTTTTCATGTGACTTGTACGTTTGTTTGCCCAGAGAGCCTGAGTGTAGATGGTCTACCCTGTGGTGAGGGCAGCGTCTCCCAGCATCCAGGTGTGCAGAGGAAACCCTTGGTTTGTCCCCTGGACTCCTTGGCTTCGGCTCTGCAGAAGCAGCTGGACTCCGACAGCCTGACCACATCCCCGTCCTCCAGCAGTCTGGACACGTGCAGCAGCCAGAAGGCAGCGCAGGGCTGCGGGAGGAGCAGCGGGAGCCCCACTCACCAGGAGGCCGGTGTGGCGGAGGCCGGCGAGGGCTCCTCCTTCTCGGAAACGGAGGGGTGCGGCGAAGACGAGCCCAAAATGGCGCGGTCGGTGACCGACGGAGAGCTCCGTCATCGGGCTCTGGGCTTGCTTAGCCATCATGGAGTGAGTACTGATGGTACTGGAGTACTGCATCATGTTGGTTAGAATATTCTGATTGATTTCTAATATACGGTAATTGTAATGTTCTGATCTGCCGGTATCAATATTTGGAAACTAAATGTTGCTAGCAATGCTTCCTGCAATGAGTGAAAGGTACTGATTTAAAAAGAGAGGCTACGTCACACGGTGTGAGAGTGAGCAATGCAAAACAACGCAGAAGTAAAACCAGGTCGTAATACTTCAATTAGCACAGTTAGCATCGCTAACTCTAGAAATCAGTATCTGCATGAAACAACTCAAATTTAAGACTTTTTAAGACCACTATTAAAGAAAGTTAAAACTGTTCATTTAAATCAGAAGAAGAATAATTAAAATCTTTTGGGTCGTTTTATTCTCTCTTCTGCCCGGATTCCTTGATGTCGTCATTTTATCAGCTGAATCATAAAGACAAAGACACTTTTTACCAAGTCCAAATATAACAACATTTATTAGATAAACAACTAATGAAATTGGCAAAACTCAATAAAATCACAGACCCGCATCCAATTCAATATTTACCTCACTCCACAGACATCCACACACCAAGACAAACTTACGGGGAACCATTTGACCGATGCACCGTTCCCCGGAGACAGCATCACGGGTAACCCCGGATCTGAAGTTAAGGTTCCGGGTCCTGTACTTTTAAAGGGAGGGCGTGTTTCCCTTCTCTGCTGTATTCTAATTTAGGGGAGTGTCCTTAGCTAAGTTCATTTAAATCTAGTTGACTATGTTCCAGTAAAAACCTGTTTTTAAGATCAAAGAAGTGTTATTTTCTTTTGAGTGCAGACAGATGTTTTTTATGGCCCTGTCCCAAGAGGAAGCTCTACTCTGTTGGCAGGACCAGATTGTTTTACAGCAGCTGTTGAATCTTATCAATGTGGTCAAAAGGTTAAACTCGCACACAGTCACAACCCCCTGTGAATGCCTGCTCAGTTCACAGAGAGACTAGCTGTGTTTTAAATTATAGAGAGCTACAGGCTAAATTATTTTAATTCAACTTAGTGTCATATGTTTCAATAGAAATATCCTACTTAAGAGATGACGCTGATTAAACCATGGATATAATTTGGAGTGGATTTTCATATTTAAGACACTATTAATTTGATCTAATATTGAACATATGGTTAAGTTTTTACAACTAGCTTATTTTAAATTTATTTTCTTAACAAAACCTATTTCTCCACCGAAATGTAACTTCGTTCAGCCAAGTGGCGATAAATTTGCACTTACCCATGATAGACGCAGATACTGAGACTAGCTAGCAAAGATATGTTAGCAGCTAGTTAGCGGTAGCCTAAACGATTTTAGATGCATGAATTTAAGATATTTTAATGCCTTCATTATAGATACATTAAGTCTTCTTAAGGATGCGCACACACCTAGTTTCCTTCCCTCAGTAACAGCTTCCAGACCGAAGAGTGTTTCTGTGATTCAAGGGATGTCAGATTCACACCACTTGGCAGGACTGAAGGACCGTTCACTGGTCATAAAAATATTGTATTTTTGAGCTTCTGTCTGGTCATTCACCAGTTTACTTTTTTTATTTATTTATTTTTTTTACTTCCTTCCTGGTTCAGTCCAGACCAGTTATGTGACATGGGACTCTGTTGTCTTGTGTATCTATTAGTTTCTGCTTGTATGTTAAAATGCTGCACATTGAATCAGTACAGTGCAGACAGAACATTGTTCCTCGTATCTGTTTCCAAACTCTGAACTTTTGAATGTTTTCTTCTGTGGTTTCTCGCAGAGAGCTTGCAGCTTTGGAGGATTTGACCTGACAAGTCGCTCCGTTCAAACAGTCACTTCTGACATCGACAGCACTGTACGTTACTGAAATTTAAAATGGGCTAACTTCAATACTGTGCTAACCAACTCTTGACTTCTAAATATATCCTTAGCATTTTCTGTGTTACAATCGTTAGTGTACTGATTTATACTGCGCTTGAGTTTGTTTAGGGGTAAAAAGGGTTGAATGTGTGCTTAAAACATCCCAGTGTAATTTAATGGAGTTTGTGGTTGGAATGCAGCAAAGTGATGTGTGAATACTTTTCCAAGGCATTGAACCATTCTCCTTCTTTTTCTGTTTAAATTAGACAAAAGATGGAGAGAGTGGCTTGAGAAGCGAAGTCAAGTCTCCCTCGCTGTCACGGATTTCTCTGGGTAAAAAAGTCAAGTCAGTGAGGGAAACCATGAGAAAACACATATCCAAGAGATACCATTGTTCTCTCTCCGAGCAGGTACGGCGTGTTGAACCTTGGTCATCAAACCCATTAAAAACTCTGGTAATAACCTCTTTATTCTTGCTCTACTTTGCCACAGTCGAGTCCTGACCGAGTAGCCAGCTGCCCTCACTCGCCTCAGACCGACTCCGACTCTTTGGAGAAACCCAAACTGAAGCCAGGAGGCTCCGTGGAAAGCCTGAGGAGCTCCCTCAGCGGCCAGAGCTCCATGAGTAAGTCAGCTGGTTCGCTGCTGTTAGGTAGGATTTGCCTAGTTTTGTTTGACCAGATGTGTTGTGTTTATCGTCCAAGCATTTTTCATCTGTTAGAAAGCAGATGAAAAATTGCTGATTGACCCATAAAGGCTCGTGATCTTGATGTTTTTTTTTTTTTTTTTTTGTGATTTTCGTAGGCGGCCAGACGGTCGGCACCACCGACTCGTCCAACAGCAACAGAGAAAGTGTGAAGTCGGAGGACGGAGAAGAAGACGAGTTGCCTTACCGTGGACCTTTCTGCGGACGCGCGCTGGTTCACACCGACTTCATCCCGAGTCCCTACGACACGGACTCCCTCAAACTGAAGGTGCACTGCAATAAGGTCGCGTTCATACCAGCCCTGTTTGGGCCACTTCAATCGTACTCTGGTTCGTTTGGGGAGGCGTGAAGGCGGAATCAAACTCTAGTCCATTTAAGAACCACAATTTCAGTTCAGTTGAAGTGAACTCTGGTGCGGTTCAGCAGAACAGAGAGACAGCTGCAAAAGCAGGAAGTGGACTATAACGCAGGGTATTCTGGGTAAATACAACCAAAACAAACACAAGAGTCTACTGCTAATGGGAGAAATGCCTCGTGGTCGTTGACTAGCAACGAAAAAAAAGTCATACAACCACTAAAATCTGTTTCTTCTACTAAATGTTGCGTTCAGTGTCTTCTTCTGAGGTTTTTGTGACATTTTCTGCAGTAGTTCTTGGTTCAGCGCCACCAGAGGCGATGGTTGCGTGGGCCGGTTTTCAATTAGTTTGGATTGTTTGACACAGTGCCTACAAAAGTGAACTGCATCAGCTGAAAATGTAACAAATGTTGCAATTTTGGTCCCAAATCAGACTAAAAGGTGTGAAAACACCCTAAATCACACAATACACAGAGAACACCTGATATATCAAAAGAAACTCACTCCAAAGCTCTGATTGCAGTGTGGAGACGTGATCGACATCATCAGTAAGCCCCCGATGGGCACCTGGATGGGAATGCTCAACGGGAAAGTCGGCACCTTCAAGTTCATCTATGTGGATGTTCTGAACGAGGAGGTGAAGCCCAAGAAGACGCGCAGGAGGAGAAAGGCCCGGCACCCCAAACCCACATCGGTGGAGGAGCTGCTGGAGCGCATTAATCTGAAGGTAAACGTGACGACAAGCAGCCACAAACAGAAACATGCAGGAGTTTTTGGTGCTAAAGCAAGGACCTCAAGAGGAAGGGGTCAACCACTGCATCAACCACACTGTAACCACAGTTCAAAATGGGAAACACAGAAGAACATGACCACACTCGAGAAAAACATGCAGCTGATGAGTTTACGCCAAGCTTAAAGAACTTTCTTAGAGATTGATAATCAGTTGAAGTTTTTGCTCTTCGTCTAACTTAATTTTTAAGCAGCTAAGTGAATCTGGAAATAACGTTAAGGTTTTGTTTCCTCCAGTAACAACTTCCTCACCAAAGAGTGTTGCTGTCAAGTGCACTGTTTCACTGGATTTTATCTGAGTGTGAGAATGAATGCAGCTGAATACTCCATCTGGTAGCGCCTACGGATGGTGTGATCGAAAAAGATAATTATTTTGAGTTTAGACTCAGTCGGCTCACAGTACTTGCCTTTCTGCCTTCTAATTGAAAGAAAAACTTTTCCACTTCTTTCATTTCCTATATGTTTGCAATACTTATTGCTCAGAAATGAGTATAATAAATCCAGATAATACAATCAAATGCATGAGAAAACTTCCAAACTGTATTTGGAGCTTTTTGAAATCTGTTTGGGATTAATTTAGTTTCATGACTTGTCAAACTTTACAAAAACATCTCTCCTCTCCTCTCTCCTCTCCTCTCCTCAGGAGCATCTCCCCACCTTCCTTTTTAACGGCTACGAGGATCTGGACACGTTCCAGCTGCTGGAAGAGGAAGACCTGGACGAGCTGAACATCACAGACCCCCAGCACAGAGCGGTGCTGCTCACCGCCGTGGAGCTGCTGCAGGAGTACGAAGGTGGGTCTGAAACGGCGCAGACAGGAGTCCTGCAAAGACGGGAGGAAAAAAAGTGATGTCCAACTCAGAATAAATGTGGAAAAACAAAACAGTAGGAAAAATACTCAACCCACACTTGATTTATTTTCCAGCTCTCACCAAATGTCTTTGGTATCCTTCCTTCCTTCTTTCATGTCCTTGAAAGAAGGACATGAAAGAAGGAAGGATACCTTCCTTCATTTTGTCGTTCATTCCTTCCTTCTTTCCTTTCTGCAATATCCTTCCTTGCTTCCTTTCTCCATGTCTCCTGTATCATTCCTTCTTTCTTTCCTTCCTCCCTTCCTTTGATATCCTTCCTTGCTTCCGTCCTTCATGTCTTTGATGTCTTTCTATGCTTCCTTTATGTCTTAAGTTTCCTTCATTCCTTCGTGTGGTAATCATAGTAAAGTTCTGTTTCTTTAAGAAAAAATATTATTGAAGCAAATAACTGAATTTGGAAAATTGAATTTGGAAATTTTGTATGTATAAAAATATTCACATGCAGATGCTCAGATGTAAATGTGACGCTAATGTGACTGTCTGCCCCCTGCTGGTGGCTGCAGGAAGCAGCGACCCCGAGCGAAGCGCCCAGTCCGGACCGTCCCAGGAGAAGCTGCTCCTGGACCGGCGCGGCGCCCTGGGCGACTCGCCGCGGGACTCGGGCTGCTACGAGAGCAACGAGAACCTGGAGAACGGTAACGACAGCCTGACCCGCCTCTGAGCCCTGTCCTCTCTCCTTCAGCCCTCCTCTTCCTCAGTCTAGAAACACTCCGGAGGCTTCTCTTCCTCCTCGACGCTCTGGCATTGCCACCCACCAGCTTCAGCTTTCACGCTATTCTCGAAAGACTTTGTCACCATTTACCGCCGATGCTCTTCTTCCCACACCATAATCCCCCGGTTTTCTGCTGCTGCGCCACTTTGTCATGCAGAGCTAAACTAAAGACTCGACGGCGATGACGGATTTCTGTTTTCATGAGACTAGAAGTTCAAGGTCAACCTTGAAAACCCTCAAGCGGTCTAAATGTGGAGCAGCTTGCAGGTTCTGGTCAGCGGTCTGAGCTCTTTTCTGCTTTCGCTGCAAATAGAGACGTTTGAACCGCTGTGAGAGGAGAGTGTTTATTAATCAAGCTTTTGTTCTTGTTTTGTTTTACTTTCTCTTAACTCTTCTCATAATTGCAGTACATA